TAGTGTCCTTCACCTTCAGCATGTGTTCTCCTGCTGTTACATGAATAAATATCAGCAGCTGTCTGAATTTATCATTATGATTTGATCTAATTTGATGACACTGAACTGGCCACTCACCCTGAAGTTGGTCACTGACCTCTTTCATGGCTTTAATGATTTCAGCACCATTCACAATTTTCATGTCAGTTGCTGGAACAAATTATATTTTTCCTCGAATTTAAAACTTTATTTCTTGCCTATATATTTTCTGACTTCAGTATTTATACTAGGAAAAGGGTTATTTGTCATTCAATACACAACTATGACCTGATTTTAGTTCAGGGACAGAATAATACAGCAGTTAATCAGCTGTTTTATAGTCATTATGATGGCTAGTAATCATTTCATGCGTCATGCTAAATGTAACTGTGTTTTGCCTAGAGCAGTGAAATGTGCAGAAACTTGGACAGCAGTACTAATATTGAAGTGAATTCATTTAACATTATTATTATCTTGTTATACATTGTATTCACTTATTTGTCTCACCTAGAGGTTCCATCATAATCTCATTTCTGTCCTTGGTTGAATTCCTTCTTAAACAAGAACTAAGCATCAGTGGTTTACTTACCAGACGTTTCTCCATAGTCTCCTCCAAGTTATAGTCCATGAGCTCTCTGATGGCTTTGGTGTCAGTTTTATCAGCCATCAGCTTCATCTCATTCTCTAATTTCAAATCAATAAACATGCTCAGTTTTTCAGCTATGTTATTTTCATCATATCAGCTATTCATGTCCTTTCCTCACCTAGAAGTGTGCTGTTTGTTTCAGTGTCTTCCAGGAGAATTCACATCAGCTCTTTAATGCAAAAAAACAAAAACATCACAGTCTGGCTCAGCAATAACTTACTCCACTTTTTTTTTGTTGTGTTTGAGCAACATGTTTCTGTGCAAAATCATCACAGAGATGCACATGCAATTAGGGGGGTAGAAAGCAAGAGAAAGTGGCACTCTTTAGAGCAGAAAGCAACCATGACAAGGAGTTCTTGTGCTGTAAACTCCACCAACTGCAGAGAAGGTGGTTTGAGAATGTTTAATATCCCAAAGGGGATCACATTTCTTTACCAAACACCACAGATTATGGACACACGCCATCAAAAAGACAGATTCGGGTCCCGATGCTCCCAAAGGCAGCAAAAGACTGTATATCTGAATGTAATGTGTCTGACTACCACTTTTAATACCGGTAGTATTTTCTGACACAGTGATTTAGATGAGGCTGAAGTCAGTTTCCTATTCCTTTCATCTTGTTCAAATTTTCTCGTCCCACCTTAAATGGTGCATGAGTGGGCCTGAGGCACCAAAATGGAACTACTGCACCATTTAAACAGTTGGCAAATAGGGAGCTGACATCAGCTTCAAGTGATTTAGGCCATCAAAATATCCTACCTACAGTTTTTGTGTAGAGCTCTACTTATAAATATGCACTACAATAGGACATTTCAACAGGTTGAACAATTCGTCAGAACAATGGTATGTTTCTGTTTGCTAACATTAGCTACTTAGATAATGAGTAAGTTAGCACTGTGTGTGATTCATATAAATGATAGCTAAACTAAATAATATTGGTTTTGTTCAGTAGGTTATAACCTAACTGCCCAACTAAATCATCTGTTCGCTTAGCTGAGCAACACTAACAGTACCACCATGCTCCTGATATTATCAAATAAGGGGAGGATAGACAGGCTCAACAAACAACTAAACCAGGTTGGATGACATTCATGTCAGCAAGCCATAAAGGTTTTTGTGATTTGAATAGCTACTATTAGGTAAACATTTAGAGAATAGCAAACTTAGTGGGGTCTTCATAGAGACCTGTTGACTAGACCATACTGATAGTCAACTATTGTTACCTGATGGTTTGCACAATATTATATTAATAAGCAAATGAAAGACAAATAAACAGATCCAACTCAGAAATGGCATTTTATTATTGAGTAGACATACCCAGTGCATACCCAGTATTGTTTATAAACAGGAAACCCATCTATAGCCTCCACAGAATTTATTACACACTTTGTTTTATTATTATTATCATTTTTCAACAGTAGTCATAGTAGAATGTTGTTGAATTTTTGTTGACATTCTGATCTGATGTCATAGAGGACCAAAGGCTATGCTGTCTGATCTCATAATGGGTTAAAGGCCTTGCTATCTGATGTCATAATGGATCAAAGGCCATGCTATCTGATGTCATAATGAATCAAAGGCCATGCTGTCCGATCATATAATGGGTTGAAGGCCGTGCCATCTGTGGTCACAATGGATCAAAGGCCATGCCGTCTGATTTCATTATTTCTTAAAGGCCATGCCATCTGATGTCATAATGGTAAAGATGCAGATAAGTTCCATTCACGCTATCATTTCAAATCAGTCTGTGTGATGGCTGGAGAAAGCTGTGACACTGGTGAACTTGGGAATTCCACTACAGGAGTTTAACAGTGCTAACTGTTGATATTCACTAATGTTAACACAGGAAACCATGAGCTGAAGACAATGCACGCTAAAGCCGAGGCTGATGCCATTAAAGACTTTTTTGAAAACTGCTTCTTACAGCAGAAACAGTTAAAATGATGATGAGTGCAGAGGCTGAGTCTGAAGATGAGGCCATTGAAAGACAGCCCAAGCTGCTGGAATTGTCAAAAGGATCAGACATTCATGCATGTATTTTGGAGCTGCCCAGTAAATGTTTTTGGTGTAAGATTCATGATTGTAGTGAGGATGACAAATTATCAAATTCCCTTTACCCCTCACCTGTTTATTTTAAGTGACCCCTATTTTAAGTGATGAAAATGCTACCAACTGCAACCTCCCAGCTGGTTCATATGGCTATGATGGTGGGGAAGAGGTTTCTGGTACAAAAATGGAAGAGAGACAAGGCTACTTCTCTAAGAGAATTGCACCTTTCAATAGGTAGCATTGCAGCTTATGAAAGACTAGCTACCAAAGTAATTAACAAACTCAGAAAAATGGTATAAATACTTGAGATATATTGATGCCCATTACTATTAGCTGAGAAGCCTTGGAAAAGCATAAGTATGTATGTTTTTTAAGATCCCACCTCATTTTTCCATTCAAATTTTGTAGCTGTAGTTACTGAATTACATCTCCTTCCCTAAATCAGATGTTTTGGTTGTACACATAAGAATTTGTGGTAGACCATTTTACCCCCTTCATCATGATCATAATCAGAAGCAGCAGAAGGATCATCTTGGGCACCAAATAATTTGGAAAATTGCACAAAAATTACAAAATTGGCTACAATCTCACTGTATTGCATACTTATGAATAACTGTAGCTCAGTACACAATAGTTACCTCATGTGTAATGCTGTCTGGATCCAGCAGTTGTATTGTTCGGCCCTCAACTGTGAACCAAGAGATAATTATTTTGCACATTACACAATTGACGTTATCATCTACATGTTAGCCCACATGTACTAACTTTCTACCAAAGACTTGCAGATGCTGGAGCCATCTGGGTCAGAAGAGGAACTCCCAGCTACGCCCTCCATTAAAGCGTGGCCTGATTGTCACTTAAGGCCATTTCTTCTGCTACAGTGTATTCAGGAGGTGGAGGGCCAGAGCCAGTTTTTCTTTTTTCATTCCTTTTAGCTGTAAGAAATATCAGAGCACACTGTCACAGGCCAAATCAGCCAAAGAAAACAATAAGGCAATCAACATTATGGCAGAGGGCATACTTACCACTTGGTGTTATATTTTTAGATTTTGTCTTGATCTGACAATTACAATTAGCAGTTAGTTCTTTAAATTTTCATTTACAGTTTCTTTAAATGTGCTGGGAAACACACTGAACCTTTACATTATCTATACACACACATTTATGCAGTCAGCTTTTTTTTGGCCAAGCGCTGTCACAAGCCTTGGCAGCAGCAATAGTATTGTTTTTTTGTGGTAATTATGGCTTTAAAATCTTCAAAGGACAATATAATCATCACTCGTTCTTCTGCTTAGGAATATACAGCTTCAGTCAAATGTTTATATGTTTCATCAACACAAAATATATTGAGCACAAAACCTTTCATTTCAACTGCAATATAATATTGTGTCTATGTTCTTGAGTTTTGCTTTCTACCTCATTATAACAACTTATTTAGCCATGAAAATATTGTACTCACAGTGTCACATTAGAGCTGTTGCCAGATCAAACCCTGAAACCATGTAAACAAGAAACCAAGAAAACAAGTTTATTTAATCCCTTAAATGGCCAAAGCCCATCGGCAGGTCCAAAGATTTATTACATAATTCTATAACCTAAGAATAACTCAGCCTGTAGTTACTGAATAATATGCCTTAGTATGTAATAAGCCTGGGATTTTAAGGTGTTAAGTTATTAACTGCTTAGGGGAAAAGTGGTTTCGGACACGAGCATATGCCTGAACCAAATAATGCTTACAAAACTAACTAACATGAAAAAAAAGAAAGAAAAATGCATAACTGCCTACTTAAAACAGGAGAACATTTTCCCAAATGTTCACAAAGAGCTTCATAGAATCTAACAAAGAGAAGTGAAGAGAAGAATGGAGTAAAGAGTTTCGGGCTGACAGGCCCTAAACGTCTCCCTGACCTCTTTTATACAGGAGGGCACCCCCTTGTGGCCAATCACAGACCTGCACATAACACAACAAAACAGGGAAAAAAACACAAAATGCCAACACAAGGCATATATGTGTATATATATATGTGTGTGTGTGTGTGTATGTGTGTGTGTGTGTGTGTGTGTGTTACCACTCTGAATAACCCTGTTTGTGGATGCTGCACTCTGAAAGTATAATTGTGTTGAAGTGCTGTGTGAACATCTTACTGTAAATATCCAGCAGGTGTCTCAGTTTTATCACTTGTGGCTTGTTATAATGTTTGATACAGGATGTCACGTGTTGGTGCCGCGAGCTGTGAGACTTCTGGTGCCTAGTACGAGACACATTTACGGACTCTACCCATCTCTTATAAACACATGTTTGGTATTTCAGTAGAGAATTGTACTAGTAGAACCGTAGTAGAGTATTACACTTCTCAGATACCTTCTTGTCACGTAAGTTTCAATATGCCATATATTTTTGTCTTTTTTGTGCATCTGCTGGTGTATTCAGCCTGAGCAGTGTTGTTTCATTTAACCCCAGTCTTTAAGAGTTTGCATCACAGTTGCATTGCTATGAGTGTTTTGGTGTGTGTTTGTGCTGACTGCTTGCTGAGGTGGATGAAGTGCCATCTGCACTCCCTGTTATTTGCTGTTGCTGTTTGCCTGCTGACTGCTGGACTGCTCCTGCTTTGCCCTTTGGACGGGTATAGAATATTTAAGGACAGGGCCTGAAGTGCAGCAGGGGTGACAACTGTAGAGATAACAGAAATCAGTTTACTGCTAGATACAAGAGAGAAAGTAGCACTTTACTTCATAGATAATAAGTGATAATGATACGGTAATAGTTTGGTAACAAGTTCAGCTTGACATGCTAATTTTCAAGTTGTTACTAAAAAATAAGCTAGTAATTGTAATGACAGTAAGTTGGAAATCAAATGATAAAATAATGGTAACAAGTTGTACTAACCTAATTAATTTTAGTTGTTAATAAATGATAAGCTGAGAAGTTTGATTAATAAGTATTTTGCCAGATCTGTGCTTTACGTAACAGTATTACAGGTAACACAAAGGAAACATGTGATGTTGCATTTTCCAGCTCTGATTCTATTTAATTGCAGTATATTTACCTCATCTATTCCTGATTATCAACTCTTTTACATCTGGGCCAACATATCAAAGTAAAGAGCAACCATGGCTGATTATAATGCAGTAATTTATCAGAATTGATCAGAATTTCAGTGCAGTTACCTATATTATTTTGAAGAACTACCGATAACACCTGATGTGATATACAGCGACTAAATGAAAAATAAGACGTAAAGTAATAAGTTTGCATTTTACAAAAACTAGTTAATTTACTTGTTACCACATGAAGTAATTTTTTAAGTTGATTTTTACAATGTGGGAAACAAAGTAGAAACATGTAATTTGGTATTCTACAGCACTAATGACTACTTTGTTGTTTTTGGGGTAACAGCCCTATTAATTCACTTGTGATTCGAAGCAACTTTAAGCCTTTTGAATACACTAAGAGAATTTTGAATGCACTTCATGCACTCATATGAAACTTGGCTGTGCCTCAAGTTATCTGAAGTTACTTACTTCTGTGAAAATGGTGCTTTTCCTGTGGTTTTCTTTTGGTCAGCGCATAGCGCAGGCAGAAGTACAACTGCAGATTCTCAATACATTTCTCATGACCACAAACAATACAGACTCTTTCATTTACAATTACTGTAATAATTTAAAGCAAGGAGTTTTAAGTTGGGGGTGCTGAAATTGTAAGTAGTATATACATGCCATGAATGGTGATGTCATGCAAAATGATTTACCGTGGTAATATTTGGCAGCTCTGGTGCACAGAAATGGCCTACAGCTCTGCCCACGCTTTCACTCTTTGCACTTCAACCTACAAGCAGCCATCAGTGGGTGGGGGAAGTGATTTGGCTCTCTATGACGAAAATACATTAACATAAACAGCGCACAGCTGCTGCAGGTTTTAAATAAAACACATTATTATTATTATTTTATTTAGTTTTTTTTTCACAAGTTAAACAAATTGTCATTATTACTAAAATTATTATTAGTGGTAGTAGTAGAAGTAGTAGTAGTAGTATAGAACTGGGGTCTTTGGGATCCCAAACAACAAGAGAATAAAGCTAATTTCAACAGAACATGAGTGTTAAGCTACAACAAAAGTTAACACTACTAGGGTTTTAGCAGTAGGTGCAGAAAATATGTGAAGTCCTCTTTGCATTTTCTAGCATTGCTCTCCACCATTATAAAATCCTCAAGGCCTGTTACTATCAGCTAGCCTCAAAAATGTATTGCAGAATTAACCACAGCAGCTTCATGTGCCTGTAACTTGGTCAACTGTCCTATGTCTGAGTTGTAACTACAATTTTTTTAACCAAAAACTGATCACAATTAGATCGGCTCACAGGTGATCTTTCTTTTTGATTTTCAAGTAGAGGAGAACGCTCTTTTTATCATATAAAGGTTTGCTGCAGGCTGACTACAAGAATCAGACATGTCATTTGTAGCCACATGGCTGATGATGGAGCTCATCCATGTACTTTTCTTTCTTCAATGCCCAGGTACAGTATGTATTTTCCCTGTCTACTGCACACTCTCCACATATACACCCTCAGGCACACTGAGCAGGAGTCATACTACATTGTTCAGAGCAATGAATACTTAATAGTCAATCAGCTAAACAGGAAGCAATGCCAAATTAACATGCTATTTATTGTCCTAAATATCATGACTAAGCATGTTTTGTATTCAAATACATTCCAGCTATTGTAGCCAAAAAATCACATAGCTATATGACCTTTAAAATATTTTGGATTAACACTCTTAACCTCATAAAAAATAGTAATAAGCATCATGTCTTGTATGTATTCCATTGTGGTTCAAGGCGCAGGTGCTATAACAGGTATTCTAGTATATCACTGACTTGTACAGTCATATGCAAAACTTTGAATGCTGATGAAGTTATGTGTTTTGTTGATTTTCTAAGTAAAAATAGGTTAACATATGCTCTACAGGGAACTTATGGCAATTTGTCTGCAAACAAATTGCACTCTGCTTTTGTTTTATACCACTGACACCACCCAAAAAATAATCAAAACAAAACACAGCTAGTGCAGAAGCCTCTCATACAATGCAATAATGCAGGGTTACTCATTGCAGGGTAATGCTGCTTCCACTAAAGCAATAACAATAACAATGATGACGAGTAGCGCATGCACAGCTCACTCAAGTGCTCAAGCTTGAAGCAAAACCAGCCTTATCTCAGTTTCAGTGGTTTGCCCACTGACCATGAGCAGAGAAACATAGGTTTGTGCTATTAATAAAGGAAGAAACTTTGTCATACGGAGGAAAAGAACATCTGTGCCAGCATTTCACCACTGCTGACTAACATTACACTGAATTCAGTTCATGCAGTAAAGTTGCTGCTGCAGCCGCTTTGAGAGGAACAGTTCATTTTCTCCCTCAAAAGCTATCATCATCTGAGAGAGCAAGTTCTCAACAAGGAGTAGATGTTTGTAAATTGGAGCCAATGTTTGTGGCAAACATTACAGTGGCGCTATGGACCATGATGACCTGGCAAACCCTGCCAGGATGTGTGCATGTTTAGCTTTTTGCCAACTAGTTTATTGTTAGCAAGCTGTTTTAACACCTCCAGTTAACCTGGCTTATTTAGCATTTTGGCTATAGTTATTATCACCTATCCATCGATTTATCACTTTTAAGACGTTAGCTGACATTATTGTACCCTGATAGCTGTGAAGGAATTTTTCCATGAAGCATTTAGTTATATCCTTTATTTAGTTTGGACTCCCACATTGTTGTGTGTTTGGTGTTCTCCAACAATTCTGGACACATTCTCAAATATTAAGCTTGGCAACTATGACAAAGATGAAGTGACACACCTTTCTCTGTTGAGCTGAAGTGATACGAATGCCTATATTTCTGAGGTAGTAAATGTCCATAAGACAGTAGTGGAACTTGTTTTACCCAGCATTTACATGCTTCAGTTTCTTGTGAAAAGGGCCTACTAGTATTTTTGCACTTGGGCTCCCCCCTACAGTTGCAGAGTTTATTTCACTTTTACGCCACTGTCACAAATACAAATCACGCTCTGAGCCCCCTCACGTACACATGAATTTGTTGTGCACACGCATCATATGGATGCTACAGATTACCTTTGTGCTTTCTATGTTCCTATATATAAACAACCAAAATTACAAGTGTAATTTTAGCATTCATAGGCCTGCATAAAGCACATGCACACGAAGGGGAGTCGGATTCTGCTGGGCACCCGCAAAAACTGTAAGGGTCTGCACCCCCGGCCGCCAGCAGAGGGCGACAGCGGCAAGGTGCCCAGCCTGCGCCGCCGGCTGCCAGCAGAGGGCGACAGTGGCGAAGTGCAATAACTTTAGGGAACTCCAATTCCCAGAAGCCCTCGGGCTGATTAGGCCCAACCTGACACACCTGTGGACTCCTCTACTTAAGGCTGTGGCAAACAGCAGCCCTTTGTCACACCTTTGTTGAGGGGTGACTGGTACAGTATGCGGCCCCTGGTGGGTATTTAAACAAAAAGAAAAGAAAAAACAAACACAGAGGGCTGGAAAAAACAAAGGAGAGTAATAGCCCCAAAATTACTCAAAAAAAAAAAAAAGACACAAGAAGGCTTGAGCTACAAACCGCTCCAAGCCATACAAAAGGTATTTTGTTCTAAGAGCAAACAAGTGAAACAAAGTCTGCCTTCCCATCACAATTACAGTAGAAGTGTCTTTTGTTTTCTCGTTATCTTTTATTTCACGTTTCTAATTCAGCCTTTGTTTGAGCACGCTGCTTTCAGCTTCTCCTTTGTTTGTCGTTTTTCCCACCTTTTATTTCCCGTTCCTTGAGATACATTACATCAGTGGTTCGAACCTGGCTCTGGGTCACCCCAATCCCAACATGCCAAATTCACATCCCATTGCCTCAAAAAATTTATTTAACACCCTTTCTCACAGGTTTTTATCTTTCTCACAGGTTTTTATCTTTGCACTTGGGTCCATAACAAAAACATCAAATAAGAAAGAGCCATGTCGACTTAGAGTACATATTACAGGAGTAAGAGCAAGAGTAAAGGGAGAGTAAATATTACAGGACTTTATTACAGGAAGCTGCAAACTTTCAAGACTTATTTGGTGTGAGGTTGACAAAGACAAACCATACTCTTTGGCATGAGATGAATTTATTTCTTCGCATGTTAGCCTGAAATGGGACTCAGGTTAGATGACTTTCATCGCCCAGAAAAAACATAAAACTCTGTAAGACATGGGTGATATAGCCGTCAGTGTGTGCCGTAAAGCATTACACAATTCTTGTAACAGGTTTCGTGCCGACTCCTTCAAAGTTACCTAGCTCTATAGCAGGCATTTAACTCTAACGTTCGATCA